TGACTGGAATCGAACCTGGGACCTTTTAGTCCGCAGGCCGACGCTCTACCCACTGAGCCAAACCAGTCAGGGCCCCCTTCAATGTTCTTACCTGCTGTTTCTGAATTTTCCTGTGAAGAGATCAACTATTGTAGATCATTCACTCCAATGGAAATGCAGTCAGAAAAAAGAAAAATTGAAACGGGGAAAAAGTAGCATCCAGGTAAACTATAAAGTTAAAAGCTAACAGAGGGGATAAAAAAGCAGAACCAAGAGGAACTGCCCACCTGAAGTAGGTAGGGTTTTATGAAAATACTAGTCAAATGCAAATGCAAATTAAGCACTATCTTTGTGTCCTATCTTATAGTCCTACCTAGTGTCCTGCCTTCCCAGCCCCTTTTGGCAGCCTGCCATTTCCTGACTACAATGCTTATGATCTGTTTCCTCAAATTATAAATCTCCCTAGAACAAGATTACCTCCTTTTGGTATCCTGTAGCATCTAGCACAATGTGTTTCATAAAATAGATGCTTAAAATATATTTATCAATGATAATGCCCAGTGCTAAAAAAAAAAAGTTTAGTGGAATTGGCACACATGCTGAATGTAGGTAAGGGCAAAATGAATTTGTGGAATCGTTTTGGAAAGCAATTTTGCAATACATAACAAGAAAAATGGAGATGTTTATGCTGATTGGCCTAGTATCGTCACTTTTGGGGTTTTATTCTAAGAAAATAATTTCCAGGAAGGAAGATGTATATATGAAGATATTCATGGTATTATATGGTGAAACAATGGAAATTACATGAGAATGACCAATTGAATTATAGTATAATTCTCAGTGGAAAAACTATATAGCTATGCAACATGGTGAATTAGAAACTAGCAATATTAAAAATGTTTACGATAAAAATATTTTAATTCTGATTACAACTTGTATTTTTGTTTTCCTCATTTATAACCTTTGATCCTTCCCAATTTAGGGAGCTAGCAGGGGGCAACCATGGTCCTCTAGGAGTTGTGATGATAGGACCAGAGAACAGAGAACCAAATTTGTCTCTTTTAAGCCCAGCTGCACATGCAAGATAGAAAATATCTGGAGTAACATATTGACTAAATAAAAGTTTTCCAAGTAGAGGAGGGAGGGGAAAGTCAAAACGGAAGTAAAGGAGTACCCTTAAGAAGGAACCTGAGTCTTGCCCTCACCTTCCCTTAAGGCAGTGGTTCTCAACCTTCCTAATGCCGTGACCCTTTCATACAGTTCCTCATGTTGTGGTGACCCCCAACCATAAAATTATTTTCGTTGCTACTGTAATTTTGCTACTGTTATGAATCATGATATAAATATCTGATATGCAGGATGTATTTTCATTGTTACAAATTGAACATAATTAAAGCATAGTGATTCATCACAAAAACAATATGTAATTATATATGTGTTTTCCGATGGTCTTAGGCGACCCCTGTGAAAGGGTCGTTCAACCCCCAAAGGGGTGGCGACCCACAGGTTGAGAACCGCTGCCTTAAGGGCTTCTCCAAAGCAGAAGGGATAGTAGATCCCCACCCTCAAGGCAAATTTAGGGATCTGGGAAAAGAAAAGACCAATGCTGATGCCCAAGCAGTAGTGCAAGGTGCTAGAGAAGCAGTGCCCTAGCAGCAGTGGGTGGAGGTGGAGGTTAAGAGCTGGCAAAAGAGGGCCCGAGGCTTCCTGGGTGTGGGTGTAGGTTCAGGAGAGCATCTGAGAAGGGCTAGCAGTTGAGATAAAAAGGAACAGAGAGTGTAGACTGACAACTGGAAACTGATGGGTAACCGATATTTAATTGGGTGCATGATGGGGGGAAAGGCCACACCTGAGGATTAGCTGGCATATTTATTTTCTAGGGCTGCCATAACAAAGTAAAACAAGGTAGCTTAAAACGATAGAATTTATTCTCTCACAGTACTAGAGGGTACAAGTCCAAAGTCAAGGTGTCGGCAGGGCCCTGCTCTGAAGGGCCTGCGGAAGAATCCTCTCTGCCTCGTCCTCGTTTCTGGTGGCTGCTGTCAGTCCTTGGTATCCTTTGACTTGTACCAGCATCATTCCAATCTCTGCCTCTGCTGTCACATGGCCTTCTCTGTGAGTGTGTGTGTCCTATGTCTTCACATGGCCTTCTTCAAAGAACACCACTCGGTGGATTTGGGGCCCGCTGTAATCTAATACGATCTCATCTTACAAAGACCCTATTTCCAAATAGGTTCTCATTAGAGGTTCTGGGAGGATGTGAAGTTTGGGAGGACACTCTTCAAACCACTACAGCAGGGATAAAGGATATCTTAGCAGATCCTGGTATAGACCAGGGACTAGTCATTATCCCCTCCACCAGGAAAGATCCTGAATTGTATGACTGGGTCTGCCTAGAATTATACATTTTTTAAAATATTTTTTTAATTGATTTCAGAGAGGGAAAGATAGAAACATCAACGGTGAGAGAGAATTATTGATTGGCTGCCTTGTGCACACCCCCCACTGGGGATTGAGCCTGCAACCCGGGCATGTGCCCAGACCGGAATCTAACCGTGACCTCCTGCTTCATAGGTCAAAGCTCAACCACTGAGCCATGCCGGTCGGGCAAGATTAGACTTTTTGCTATTAAGTGAAATGGGTCATGTAAATACAGGTTGAGTTGAAATGATAGAAAAACTAAGGGTATGAAATGTCTGTGCACATCTGTATGTGACTTAAAAATGTTGCTCCTGCTACAAGACATGTCCCCCTGGGAAGCCAGGGTTCCGAGTTTTCTCTTCCTTTAACCTGGGTCATGCTCTGAATCCAGGAAGATATTGGTATGTGTTGCTGATTGATTGAGGTGCTCATAAGCTTCCCATCCTCTCCTGTTCTGGAAAGATCACAAGACATTCTGCTAAGACTCAGATATGCTTCGGTTCAAGCCTTTGCCTGTAATGCCTAAGTGGATACATTCAAGGTTGCCAGGGGGCATGTTGGAGATGTTCCCCTTCAGCTTTCTCAGTGTTTGAGGCCTTTTGAGCCTGCCATAAAGAAAGATAATAAGACTGAAAACCAGGAAATCTGAATTCAAATCTAGTTTAATCCCAAATTAGCCATGTGACTTAAGCAAGTCCTTTACCTCCTCAGGGCTTTTTTTTTAATCCATAAAATTATATATTTTTTATTTGTTTTTCAGGATGTCTTTTTCCTCTTATTAGAATGTAAACTGCACAAAAACAGGGGTTTTGCCCACTTTGGTCACTATTGTAGTCCCAGTGCCTGTGACACTGACAGTCACGTAGCAGGGATTCTATAAACACTTGTTGGATGAAGGAAATGAAGTGTATGATATTTCATTGTATTTTGTTAGTATGTGTATGTGCATTCAAACCTTAAATTCCGACTTTTGGATACTGTGGCGAGAAAATCATAGAGGGAGGTCCAGTGGAAATGTCTGTACCCTTTCTTTT